CCTGCTGCAAGGATGACGGGTGCCACCAGGAGCCTGATAACTTGTCTGAAGATGGTCCCACAAGCCGTAGCCTTTCCAGACCAATCGAGGCCACTGTCCACTTCTCATGGCCAGGCATAATATCTGGGCAAGGAGGGCGATCCTGAAGGAGAGCTCACCTCCCTCGGGCCTATGAGCTTGGGTTTGGGCCTTCTTCTTTATCTGTTATCATCTGCCACGTTTCCCCAAACACGGCTCTGGCTTCAGAGACTCAGAGATCTTGAAGCAAAGGAGCCAGGACTGGAATGGGACATCCACCCAGGGGGCGGGAGAGGGAGGAGGAGCCTGCAAAGCAGATGGTGCCGCCCAGCCATAGGGCGGGAAGATCTGAACGGCACAGTGCCGTGGGAGCCTAAGAACCTCAGGAGGTAGAGTCAAACTTGTCAAATGCTGCAGAAATCAGAGGTGAGGGCTGTGGAAGTTCAGAAAAGGATGTTCCTTTTAGGAAATAGTTTGTTGTGATAAAAGAATATTCTGATTGCAAGGGGAGAAGTGGGGAGGGGGGTGTAAGGAGATGGGGGCAGCAAGAATTTACTGCTTTAAGAACCTGGTGGCCCGTCTGGCTTGGCTCAGGGTTTGAGCATTGACCTATGAACCAGGAGGTCTCGGTTCAATTCCCGGTCAGGGCACATGCCCTGGTTGCGGGCTCGATCCCCAGAATGGGGCATGCAGGAGGCAGCTGATCGATGATTCTCTCTTATCATTGATGTTTCTACCTCTCCCTTCCTCTCTGAAATCAAACATATATATATACACACGCACACACATACGTACATACCTGGTGTTCAAAAGAAGTAGAGAGAAATTTAAGAAGGTTAACAGATAACCTTGGTGTGTGTAACAATGACAGCTCAGAATATGGTATTTGACATACATGATAGGAGGGCTGGGAAAATTTGTCTCCTCAAGGAAGGGGTTAAGAGAAAAAGCTTCAAGATTTTTTTTTTTAAAGTCTCTGCTGGTCTAATCACAAAAGGTGGGACAGCAGATGCATTCTTTCAAGTAGAGGCCCTCTAGCTATATCCACACCCAAGGCTTGGCCAAAGGACCAAGCTCTGGGAGGGAGGGCTGCGCTCTTCACCCTGGGCACTGGGGGCCTGCCTGGTTCTCCCTCCCTTCCCTCAGGCCATCAATGCATCTCTACTTTCAAGGCCCAGAGGTTTAAGAGGCACACTTCCCAGACTGCCTCCTCTCCTCACAAGCTGCAGAGGACCTGGGAGAGAGGGGGACTCTTTGGTGGCCCTAGTTATTTCAGGCTCATCTACCCTTTAGCAGGGGATTGAAGAACCTGCCCTTTTATTTCCATAAGGGAGTAAATAAATAAAAACTTGGAATGACATTTCTGAAGGATTACTAGTATTAACTCCTGGTGTAAATCCTATAGGGGACAGGCAGTGACTGAATGGTCAGGATTTGGAGCAGAAGAGGTGAGGGGAGAGCTGAAGGTTGGCTCTCAGGTCTCGGAAATGAAATGAGACTGGATTGAACTCCCCACTGGCAGTGGCTTCTGAATTCTCTGCCTTGGGAATGTACTTCAGTTTCTATTGCAATCAAGAATTGTGTTGTCAAGTGTGCCCAGCAAGGCATAGGAATGCTCCCTGTGAAAACACTCTGCTGAGATTTGATCTTTCATTTCAGCAGGTGGAAACTGAAAGAAACTAGAAGGCTCTGCCAACAATGGATATTTCCAGATGTTTGACGTGGGCTGTCTTTAGCTGTCTATTTTGATAGGAGCCAAGAACGGTACAAGCAGAACTGAGTTCTGGGTGGAGACTCATGCTCATTTTTTTTTCCCCTTAGGCAAGGCACCCCGCCTTATCCAGGTCTTCCAATTCCAGGACAGCCAGGGTCAATCATTGATAAGCCTGATGATGATGATGATGATAATGATGATGATGACTGTGCTAATAACAGGAACTTAACTGTGTCAGGCACCATATCAAGTGCTCTACAAATATTGCCTTGCTTAATCCGTTCATTACCCAGGGAGATTTCCATTTCTCAGTCCCAGAAGGGGTAGTGGTAAAAGTAGGTCACCAGCACTTTTATTCATTATATGTTGACTTGTGTTAACAGCAACTGCTCTGCTCAGTAACTCTGCTAGATGCTGAGAGTAGTGCGGAAAGGAATGCATGCACTATGTTATAGGTAGTGTGATGAGTCTTGGGGTCGTGTGCAGGCGTTGTTGTGGTTGAGTGCAAGCTTTCATTTGGGATTCCTGGGCTACACGGCTGACTCCACCCCCTGGGGCAACTGACTTAACTTTTCTGTGCTCCCTGTTCTGATCTGAATCAAGGAAATAAGAGTGCCTTCCTCATAGGACAGTTGGGGTGATGAAGGAGATAACCAATGTGAAGCATTTAGCACAGCACTTGCATGTAGTAAGCTCACTATATATTAGTTATTATAGCCATACTTCAAATGAACTGTGTATTTGTTAGAAAGACACTAGGAGGTTAGTAATCTCCAGGATTTGAGAAGATAGGAAAATAGAACATTCTGGACATACCTGGAAAACAAAGAACCGAAACATAATTAATTCAGAGTGGTTGTAGTATGCCTCTCTTGCTTTTGCCTGAACAGCACATACTCTCTCTTCCTCTGGTGAAACTGCCCAGCTTTACTGGAAATGGCTCTTCCCCGTCCCATGGGGTTCTGACCTGGTTCCCCCGCATCCAGGCCAGAGGGACACCTCTCTGTTTCCCTCCGGATTTGCCAAGCTCTCGGGATGAGCAGCCAGGCTGCGGACAGTCCTCTTCCCCATGCTGGGAGGAGATCTGCCCAAGGTGTGGAGGGGAGTCAGAGCTCCGAGGAGGTCACCTGAATCTCCAGATCCAGATGTGCCTGGAACTGGATGCATACCTGGATGCCCCTGTCTTGGGATTTTAATAGTTCTCTTTTTTTGCTTAACCTATTTGAATTCAGTTTCCATCTTTGTAATTGAAAGAGTATTCCAGATACAGTTATAAATGCTATTTGAACACATCTCCAAATCCTAGGTATACTCCAATTTTGTATTTTATTACTTACAGGATATTTTAGTCTGCTCACAGCTTGCAAAAGGTAATAATAATTCCACCTGTGCCTGAGCTCTCTGCCAGTCTGACAACAGTGTTCAGATTAAGTAATTTGTTCAAAGAATAAGGAGCAGAGGTGGGATTCAAACTCAAGTTTTTCTGACTAAAATCTGAGTTTTCACCCCTTCTTCACCTTGGGGAAAAACGTTTTCCATCTGAATGCATGATACAAGTCAGTGAATATATGGGTTAATTTAGCAAAGTTCACTTTAAATGTCTTTTGCGGGTCAGATTCTTGTTGAGAATGACAACTGGAAGTGGTGCTTTATATTGTCTCACTCAAACCCAATCTGCCTACCCCATACCCCACCAGTCACACAAAAGCCTAATTTCCAAGAGAAAAGCTTGATGTTCTCTCCTAGGAAACATGAAATTAGTGCATAGTTCACAGTCACTTCTGTGCAAAGTAAACCATGAGGGGACAGGGCTTTGAGTCGTATTTGCCTTCAAGTAGCTTGCTCTCCAGTGGGAAAGATACACATACAATGAGCGACATCTCTTGCAAGCCAGTTAGATATGTGTTGCCATCAGGGTAAAAGAAAAAATGGGGAAGGGCTATAGCCACAGAGGAAGGTTCTAGCACTGGTGGGGATGGGTACATCAGGGAAGAAAGGTTTCAAGGAAAAGTGTTGAGCAAAGTGTTGAGGCACGGAAAGAATTCCTAAGAAGAAGGCAGACCCAGGTGGTCTAAGAATTCATGTAGCTGGAACCTGGGACACTACAAGGTTTCATTGCTTGCCTGCTCTCTGCAGGCATTGTGCTGGGAGCCAGGAGTACAACAGGGATAGAGTCTCCACCCTCACAGTGCTTATGGTTTGGTGGAGACGAAACAAGGGTATGCAGTGAAGAGCAATGAGTGTAAAACTCAAGCAAATGCAAGGTGCTGGGAGCCTGTAGCAGAGGCCCTGCTTAGGGACCATGGAGCAATGGAGGCCAGTCCTGGAGACCTGTGATAAGGTGTCATTTAGGGAATGGCAGGTTGTTTGCTAGAGCATGTCTGTGTAGGCTGGAGCCAGGAGATGAAGTGAGAGGATACGGAGGGACCTGATGGAGACCAGCATTGAGATCAATAAGGAGATAGGACGAACCCCACCCTCTGGCAATGGCATAAGCTAAATGTGAAGAATTCGCCCTAGGCTCAGTGGATAGGTGTCAGCCTGTGGACTAAAGGGTCCCTGGTTCAATTCTGATCAAGGGCACATATCCAGGTTGTGGGCTCAATCCCCAGTAGGGGGCGTGCAGGAGGCAGCCGATCAATGATTCTCATCATTGATGTTTCTATCTCTCTTTCCCACATCTAGCAAAATGGATTAGAGGCTTGTGACAAAGAACTGCAGTTATTTCTCTAGCTGTAGTTATTAATCCCTTCGTCTGCAGTGCATCCTCACCGAGTTCTGAGTTCCCATCTTTTTCTCCATCATCTGTGACACACAGGCCCAGCTTCCTTCCTTACCTGTGAATAACCTTGCAGGAATGGCCTCCTGGAGATGGCAAAGCAAGTATCCACCCCAACCTCATGGCATTTCTTCCCTTTTTTCTCCACCCATCTTCTCTGAGCCACGTGGACAGCAGTCACCCCTGACCTGGAGGTGGGCTTTAGTTCTCACCTCTCCCAGGGATGGCTTGGCAAGAGGGAAGAGAGAGCGAATCGGGGAGGGTAAACACCAAGACCTCTGCTTTCTCTCTCTCTCTCTTTCTCAAGACCTCTGCTTCTCTCTCTCTCTCTCTCTCTCTCTCTCTCTCTGTCTCCCCAGCCTGCCGCTTCTCCCATCTGCCATTTCCCCGTAGGTCTCCACTTTGGCACCAGCATGTATGATACACGGACACCTCTTCCTAAAAAAACGAAACAGCAGACCAGAATGGAGTCACTTTTGCTAAACGGCACCATCAAGTCAAAACTCAATACCTAGCCTGATTGGCGTTTCAGCCTCTTCCAGGAGTAGAATTTTGAACTAGTCTGGGACTTCCTGATCAATACAGTGGGGTCATCTGCCTGGTAAGACCCCCTGCCTTCCCCTATGAGAAGGGGCCCCTGCCTGAAACAATCCATTCTTTTTAGCTTCTTAGCCCCACGCTTGTTCTGCCTATAAAAACCTTCCATTTTGTACAGCTCATAGAGTCTCCTTCCAGTTGCCAGATGAGATGCTGCCGGATTCATGAGTCGCTCAATAAAACCATTTAGGTCTTCCAATGTACTCGGCTGAATTTTGGGTTTTGACAAAATGTCCAGATGTGCCTCTCCATCTTGAATGTGGAGAGGGCCGCTACTGGTGGATTTGTGTGTAGACTTTGTCTTTCTCCACGAGAGCTCGGTGAAAACAGAATGAGGCACAGAGGACAGCTTTTTAATCCCCGGTCCTCCTCCCCTTTATTACTGTACATGAAGACCCTGAGGATTCATTTTTTAAGCTTGTGTTGGGGATGAAAAGTAAGAGAAAAACTCAGGTTGTAGCTTGTTCCTCAATGAAAAGGTAGCAGAAGTTTTCACAGATACAGACAGCCACCCCTTGGGGCCACTGGAAGAAAATGAGTGGCAGGAATACTCCTGAAAATTAAGTGGGCACAGTTATTTTCACCATTGACTGTATCCTCAGCCTTCATCACGATGACAATTTGCCCTCCTGGGTTTTAACCAATAAGGATCAAACACACTTGATCTTGAATGTGAATGTAGAAGTATGGGGATAAAATAATGCTACTGTTGATTAGAAATCGTGTGCCACTATGGAATACAGTATGGAATTTTCTCAAAATATTAAAAATAGAACCACCATATGCCCCAGCAATCCCACTTGTGTGTATTTATCTGAAGAAATCCAAAGTACTAATTCGAAAAGATATTTGCATCCCTATATTCACTGCAGTGTTTATAATAGCCAAGTTATGGAAGTATCTATTTATAGATGATTGGATTAGAAAGAGGTTACACACACACACACACACACACACACACACACACACACAATGGAATATTATTCAGCCATAGAAAGAATGAAATCTTATTTGTGACAAGATGGATGGATCTAGAGGGTATTATGCTAAGTGAAATAAGTCAGACAGAGAAAGACAAATTCCGTATGATTTTACTTATATGTGGGATCTAAAAAACAAAATAAATGAACAAACAAAACAGAAACAAACTCATAGATACAGAGGACAAACTGGTGATTGCAGAGGAGGGGTGTGGAGGCTGGGTAAAAAATGTGAAGGTATTAAGAAGTACAAAAATAGTCACAGGGATGTAAGTACAGCATAGGAAATGTAATCAATAATATTGTGATAACTATGCATGGTGCCAGGGGTGCACTAGACTTATCAGGGGATCACCTCCTAAGTTATACAAATGTCTAACCACTATGCTGTACACCTGAAACTAATATACTATGGAATGTCAACTGTAATTAAAAAATAAAAACAAATTTTTTAAAAAAGAAATTCTTGCCCACTTGGTGTGGCTCAGTGGTTGAACATTGTTCCATGAACCAGGAGGTCACAATTCCATGCCTGGTCAGGACACTTGCCCAGGTTGAGGGCTCAGTCCCCACCCAGTAGAGGATATGCAGGAGGCAGCCAATTGATGATTCTCTCTCATCATTGATGTTTCTAGCTCTCTTTTTCTCCCTCTCCCTTCCTCTCTCTGAAGTCAACAAAAACATATCTAAAAAAATAAATTCTGAATCTATTTACACAAAGTAGGATTCGTTCATTCTCCTGTGTGGATTAAAATGGGATTAAAAGAAAAGAATGCCACTGCTCATCAATAAGGAAACCACATTCCTCCTTCGCCTCTGCATAACCAGCTGTAGATCTACGACTGACCACTAGGTGGAAGGCGAGGATAAAAGTTTTCCTGAGAGGGATCTCTCAGTTGGAGTACTAGGCCTTTCTGGTTCTCTTCTTGCTGTGTTTCTACAATTTGTTTCAGGCTAATTCTCTCAGGGGACGTTTTGGAGGCAATGACAGGGAACTCTTTGAGGCAGAAAGGTTATCTAGGTCAATGATTCTGAAAGTGTGGTTCCCAGATTCCTGGGAGTCACTGAGACCGTCTCAGGTAGCACACTGAGTCAAACTCTTTTCAGGCTAATACCAAGACATAGTCTTTCTCTCTGGGTCGATATATCTGCACCAACAATGCAAAAGCAATTGTGTTTAAAACAGCTGACACCTTTGCATGAATCAGGATATGGGAACCAAACTATCACTGTTTCCTCACCATCACATTTTAGTAGTAGTAGTAGTAGTAGTAGTAGTAGTAGTAATTAGCTAGTTTCACCTATGAATGTCCTTGATCAAGCAGTATAATGATTAGGTTTATTAAATCTCGACCCTTGAATTCATATTTAGTGAGACAAAGTCGGAGTACATATAAAACAGTTCTGCACATCAAAGTAGGTGGTCTTCTTGAAGAAAAACGCTTGTATAACCTCAACAAGACTCCCCTTTTTTGAATACCATTTTTACTTTTTAAAATGTCTGGAGAAATGAATTCTAGTGTCTCATACTATAGTATTTGGCAGATATGTATCCAAAAGTAAGGTGAGCTTATCCCTTTGAGGAAACCAACTAACAATATTTGTGTCAATGATAAATTTTGAGCTTTCCAGTGAAAACTAGAAATTTGGAAAACTTGAATCAATAACCATGAGCTTCACAAGTTCTCTATTGTTGAAGTTTTTGATTAATTTGATAGTAACATTCATAAATTTGATATTGTGTCATGAAATGTGTCAAAAATTTGAAGATGTGCATAAACTCAGTGAATCATGAGTAAAAGACCTATTCAAAATGCAAGATAGACCAATAGATTTTAATGTAAGAGAGTACAAAAGGTTCATTGACATGGTTTTAGATTCCACATTGTTACTAATCTTTAAGATACTAATTAATATTGGAAATTTGGTGCAGTGTCAGTAGCTACACGCATATCTGAAGTCCTCTCCCTTTTCCAACTGCTTATCTCTGTGAGGCTGAATTTTCTTCACAGGCTTCCACTTAAACAATATATCACAACAGACTGAATGCCGAAGCAGATATGAGACTCTGACAGCCACTAACCACCAACTCTCCCACGTTTTAAATAGACATTTGAGGAAGCCAGTGTCTTGATTTGTTCCCTTGTCCTTTCGTTTCTACAGATAAACATGACTTCCACCTTTGTCTGCAAACTCCCTTCTTTAGAAAACAAGATCTTGACCAAGATAATTTTATTTGGTTATCTGTGTTTTGCCACCAGCAGTCTGATTATATCACCTTGTATTGTAAATATTTTGTAGTTTATAAACACCATATGGTTGAGTCACATACCCTGAGAAAAATGAGGTCAGGAAGGTACTTACCCACAGCCATAGGGTAATATAGCAGAAGCCTAACCAACTGGCTTTTGGGTTCAAGGTTGGCTTCCCCATTACACTGCTCCTTCTGGAAAGCAGTTCTCCACTTTGGTCGTTTGTTAGAGGAGGAAGGGAAGAAATTAGAGACCAGTCAATCCTGTATTTGGTAGAGGCCTAGTCTGTCTCGTTCAGGCAGAGCTGGCTGACAAGGGTGAGATTCCTGTGTGTGGTAGGTGACAGTCCCAACTACATGCAAACAATTCAGATTCTTTATTCAAGTGACAGAGAGGAGTGGGAAGAGGGAGTAAATCCCATTTGTTTCAGAATCAAAGGCAGTGCTCCTTCCAGTTGAGCCCCCAAGGGGGCACTTGAGGTTTTAACCTGTCTTTACAAGTGAGGTGGCCTGATACAGGTCATGGGGTATTGGGCTCCCTTTTAATTTCTGGTGTCTTCACTCTATCCATTGTTATATCTTTGTTTCAAGTATAAACAGACAAGCAAAGTGACATCAAGAGAGGGAAGCTATGTATACAGTCAAAATGATGATTTCTACAGAAGCTAAGAGTAGTTTATATATTCTGTCATCAGCATTTCTTCCATTTATTCCATTTTCCTCTTTTATACAATTCCTCTCTATAGACTTGGCAACTTTAACAATATTTACATTTGTACAGCCCCTCTCCATTTTCAAAGTATTTTCACAGTTATCATGTTCATTGAACTTGAGACAGAACCTACCTCTGTGAGGAAAGTAAGCTTATGGTGCCTTTGGTAAGTTTTAAAATAATATATAATATCACCCCAGACAATAACCTGGTAGGATGGGGAGGAACTACCCAATGTGGCTCCCCACAGGACCAGCGCCACCTTCCACCTGGAGAAGAGAAAGCTCCAGAATCCAACATTCCTCAGACCAAGGAACTAGTGTTTCTGATTCAGTCGGATCAGGGTGGGGCCTGGGAATGTGCAAATTCCCAATAGTTATGATGGTCTGGGGATTAAACTTTGAGAACCACTGCTTGAACTCACACTACAGATGTCTGCAGAGTTGGTCTGCAACCTTATTGTTAGATGGGTAGCATCCATGTCCATGAAAGAACCCACCTTGTATGAATAGCTCTTTTCATTGATGAGAAAGATGAATAAGGGTTATTATTTGACCAGTATCACATTGATAAAAATTTGGTATAATTTGAGGTAGACCCAAGATCTTCTGATTCCTAATCAAAGGTAGTTCCTCAAATCATTAGCCTTGTGTAACTTTCTTCAATAGCAGTCAGAGATGACTGGCAATTATTACTAAGAGTTCAATTAATGTATGTTTAGTTGGACTTTTGCTGGGCATGATCTAAGGAAGTAGCAAAGGAAAAGTACCATCTCTTTTTTTTATTTATGACACATTATAGGAAATAGAAATTTTCTTCAGTATACCTAAGAACATCAAGGCTAGAGACATGTAAAATACTTAATTTCAGCTCTTTAGAATTGTATGTCTAACTGCTCATGGGTTTCCAGAGATAATTATTTTAACCCAATTTAATATATATTTTTTAATGTTTACTCTGAGTAAATAACTCTGCTGGGGCTGTAAATGTGAGCTGGTCATCATTTTAAAGGAATGTATAATCTGTGGGAAGAAGCCGAAGGTTCATAGTTAGCTGCAGTA